ACGCCCTGCGGGGGTGGCCCCCGGAGCAGGAGCCCGCCAACTCTACCACAGCACACCACCGCGGGAGGGCCCCAGAGCCCCCGCAGGGCAGGGGTGACAGCTGCAGGACACAGGTGCCCAGCGCCCACACGGTGCCCCGGGGTGAGAGCCTGGGAGCTGGCCTGCCCTTTCCACACGAAGGGCTGCTCTCCTCTGACCAGTCACGTGCCATCACGGACAGGACGGCGACGACCGTGCAGTCCCAGGGCCTCCCCAGCCCAGTCTCCTGGACACAGTGGTGTGCGCGCCCCTGTGACCCTGTCCTGGCCACCACACGGGATTCTGCACCTGGACCCAGGGCAGGCCGTCCCTCCGCCCTCACACAGCGCCCACACAACCTGGACCAAGCTGCCCCCAACACGTCCCTGAACACCCTGCGGGGTCCCCGGGAAGGACCCTGAGGGCGGCGGCAGGAAGTCACAGGGCCATTCCCACTAGGCCCTGCATGGACCACAGCCGGAGGCTGAGCCCTGGAGGGTTAGGCTCACTTTTCAGCTGCTTTGTAGGCGTCTGAAGCGCCCTGCAAGTTCCCCCGCCCTCGGGGAAGGAGAGAGGTGGCCTCTTTAAACTTCCCGCCTGCTCCCTGCCTGGACGAATGCGATGTTCATCTGTCAGGACTGGGTCCCCTCAGGACTGGGGTGCGCTGGTGGCCGAGGGGGACTGCAGTGTCCCAGGAACCGGGCGTCCCCCACTCCAGCTCAGAGTGCTCCTGGGGGCCACAGGAGTCCGGGCCGTCCTCTGGTGATTGACTGATCCTCGAGCCCCCGTCCCCAGCCCCCGGTAAGGGGACGCCTGAAGGACGGCTTGCTTCTGCAGGGTGAGGGTCTCGCTGTGCCCCAGCCTGCCGCCCTGTCACCACTGACCTCCTCCTCGTGCCCTCACCCTGCTGAGCCAACCCAGCACCTGGTTTCCTCCAGCCGCGCCCAGGCAGACCCTCCCTCTTTCCCAGGGTTGGTTCGCCTCGCTGTCCTGCCTTGGGGTCGCGTGCTTCACCCAGTCTCTGTGTCGGGGAGGAAGAGCGTTCCCTCCCTCCGCCGTGCAGGCTGGTGACTGGGGACTGTGGGATTCTTTTACCAAGAGAAGGCAGAGGCTTTGTTCCCAAGTGTCATGAAGGGGGAGTTCCCAGAAGTTGGGACCAGGAGGCCGGCAGAGTGTTGGCTTCCTGAGGACTTCATGGGTCTACGGAGGGGCCCAGGGCCCTGAAGGGCTGCAGTGCCCCTGCCCAGCTGCCTCCTCCCCGGGAGACATCTCAAGTCCGACCTCAGGATGGACAGATCTGCCCGAGGAGCAAAGCCCTCTGCACAGCAGAAAGTGGCTTCTCAAGCAGCTGGGGCAGCAGGGTCCTGCGGAGCTCCTCGGAACTCGGGGGACAGGCTGGGGGGGCCGGGGGACTCCCTGGGTAGAGCAGTGCTGCGGGGAGTGGCCCTGAGGGAGGGTGACAGCCCTGGTTGGGGCAGGGATGCCCTCTGCCCACGTCAGGGAGCCCCCCCCCGACGCTGTCCCCTTCGGGCAGTGGGGTGTCCACTGTGGGCCTGGCCCAGTGTCACTGGGGACTGGGGCGCAGCTCTGACCTCACCGGCTGCCGGCCAGGGACAGGCACCAAGCCCTGGTGTTCAGCGGGCGCCACGTGGCTCTGCTCGGTGCAGCCACAGCGGGACCCTCGCAGCCCGCACCCAGCCTACCTGCTCCAGGGGCGGCGCAGGGGAGAACCTCCGGGCGCAGGTGAGGAAGATGTCGGGGTGGGGCTTGCCGCCCTTCACCTCGGGGTCGTCCCCCAGCACGATGTGGTCAAACAGGCCGAAGAAGGCCTTGTGTCTGCCGGTCTTCATCTCGAAGGACGTGGTCCCCGAGCTGGTGGCCAGGGCGAAGGGTATGCTGTGCTTCCGCAGGTGGTGGATCAGCTTCTCGGCCCCTGTGAGCAAGACAGAGACCCCAGAGTGGGGGACGGCTCGCCTGGGGGGGGGCTGCAGGGGGGACTTGGAGCAG